TCCTCTCCGCTGATGGTATTGGATGGTACAGTATTTACTGTAAGTGCACCACGTAAAGTCTTAATCTGTGACATCGCCACTGTTGAGGATTTGTGCAGTGTAAGATTAGGGCTCTGCCTCGTCATAAATCTCTGCGTCCCAGTTCGACTGTGTGGCGGCAGGTGCGGCAGTTGCTTGGTATAGGCTGTGCTCTGTAGATTTGGTGCTGAAAGCCTTTGTGTAATCCCAGACAAACTGGCACTGAAGCTGCCCAATCTGAGAATGCCTGCAATGATGTGTGATTGGATTAAAGACTTTCTCAGTAACAGGCCTCAAGTGGTGAGAATCAGAAGCTGCACATCATCTACAGTGACCCTGAACACAGGCACACCACAGGGCTGTGTGCTCAGCCCAGTTCTCTTCACTCTGTTTACCCATGACTGTTATGCCATTCACCCTACAAATACAGTTGTGAAGTTTGCAAATGACACCACCATAATGGGTCTCATCTCAGATAATGATGAGACTCACTACAGAGAGGAGATCCAGCACCTGACAAGGTGGTGTTCAGATAACAATCTTGTCCTGAACACCAACAAGACTAAGGAAGTCATTGTGGATTATAGGAGGTCCAGGAAGACAAAACATGCTCCTCTTCTCATACATGGGGAGGTGGTGGAGCAAGTGGATAACATCAAGTTCCTGGGCATCCACATCACATCTGACCTGACCTGAAAGGACTTGACCCAGGTGGTGAGAACAGCCCAGGGCATTGCAGGGAGTCCTCTTCTGGATATGGACTCAATATACACTGACTGGATCCAGAGGAGGGGTGGACGGATTGCTGCAGACCCCACCCACCCAGGCAACAGTCTGTTTGTGCCTCTTCCCTCCAGGAAAAGGTACAGGAATATAAAGACTAAAACAAACAGACTGAGACACAGCTTCTTCCCCAGAGCTGTGAAATCAATCACCCCCCACAACCCCCAGTCACACACACAACCTCCCCCTATGGACAGACACAGAACACTGGACCTCACACCTCTTCCTAAAGACTGAGATTTGCACTGAGCTGCACCTTATTAATGTTACCACACTCTTGCTGCTAACATGATGCTGACCTGATTAGGTCCCATACATCCCTTTTCATTTGTTCATATTTTTATATTGACTTATACAATTGTGTGTTATGTAAATAATATGTCTGTCTTTTAAGCCAAAAAAATTTCGTTGTGTTATGCATAATGACAATAAAGATTCTTGACTTGACTCTTGACTTCCCATGTGCAAGACCAAAATCTGGTTGTCATTGACAGTGCACTACAACAGTTTGCCCATACAGGCATCAGAAATTGCGTATTGCGTTTTTTGTATTGCATTGTATTCCGTTTTTTGTTGATTTGTTTTCCGGGGTAGTAGGACCCCCAGATTCCCCACCAAACTTATGTCCCCACCACTTTTCAAATCAAACCCACACCCTTGAGTCTGGGCACATAAAACACTGAAAATACAAATAGCAATTTTTGTGTTTTATGCCTAAAGCAGGGGATATAACAGCACTCCAAGTCAAAAGCACTGATCATTTATATTTCTCAGGAAAGAATGATTATTGAATAAGAAATAAGAACTAAATTATATGCACCACAACCCTGTGAACTCAGGAAATGAGTAGCCCTCGGCTAAAGTATAATACTGGCTGGCCACGTAGCCTGATACTGATCATCTTAAAGCACACAGAGCAGAATCAAGCCCAGATCCCTTGACATAATTGGAAAAATACACACTGAACAAACAAAATATGAGTGGCACAAGTGCACTGATGATCCAGGGAAGAATGCCTTTATGTAAATATACCCTAAAATATACCTGTCTCTTTCCATATTCATTTCCTTAAACCTATATCCATTCAAAAAGACACACTGTGAAAAAAGGACTTTGTAGCTTTACAACCTAGTATTTTCCTCATATTTTGTGCTTTCAGTGTTTATTGTTATATTTGTTTTTTTGTTGTTTTAGATGTAGGAGTAAGCTTTTGCTGAAGGACAAATTACCAAATGTCCTTTGCTCCAAAATGTACATGGTTCATACTTTTACAATAGATGTGTCCCTGTTGGTTTATCCAAAAGTGTTTTTTTGTTAAGCTTTGGTGGCTAAAGCAAGACAAATTGTGCCCTGAAGACTTACAGATGCATTAAAATACTATATTAATCTGTAGATGTAACATGCAAACAACAATGCATGACCTGTAATACAGTAGCATAGAAGGAAGACAGATATAGCTTTTTAAAATTGTTACTACCTAATTATGAGCCTTTTTAAATGTCCAAATAGAATGCACCTAAATGTGAGTCATTACAAGAAAGCCCACACGTCTAACCAAACCATAATATATTATTTACACCACTCTGTGTCACTGTGTCATTCTCTTTTGACGTTTTCCCTGTCACTGTATGAACAGCACCAAGATAAAGAAGTTTAATGTGCCAAATGTAGATAAAAGTGCTCATACATCACATCACAGTAAACACAAGCTGGTTAGATTTTCATCTTGTTTGCCACATTAAAATAAAGATAAAACCATGATGTCCTGCTGCTGAGCTACTCAAAACAAGACTCATGGATGAGAAGGTGAAATGCATGCTTCAGAAGAGGCAGTCAAGTGACTCACCCTTAATAACACGTGCGTGTATATCTTATTTTATTTTTTTATCACCCTCCAAAGTGAATGAAATGAAATGGGAGGTGTGCCAGCTCTGAGGTGAAGGTCCTCAGCTCGATGGCAGCAGAGAGATGAGAGCACAGCAGTGAAAAGCAACAACATCGAGCAGAGCTAAGAGAAGACTGTGCAACCAGGACTTGATATAGTGAAGCTATTGATCACATTTAAATGTGACATTTTATGCAGTACTTGGACTTTCTCTGGTATTAGCTATACTAATAGCTTAAAATACCTCTAACTGCAGAAATGCAGTTCCTGCCTGGATGATGTTCAGTAGCAACATGGCCAGATAAATCTGTTAGAAAGCCATAGGCTAAAAATTACAAGAGACCCTTATTACCTCCACACCTTCACCATCTGTGCATGTTGCACATACAGTACCCTGTCCCCTCCTAGTTCCCATTGAGGAGTACTGTGCTGAATTAACATTGCACTTACAAAAACCTGGGAGACAACTTTAAACAGCAGGA